TCTCTCTCTCTCTCTCTCTCTCTCTCTCTCTCTCTCTCTCTCTCTCTCGTCACACAATGTTGATTGCTATAGATGTTGATTGTATATATATTTACAGCATCGTTCATAATTTTTAATGGCCGGGACAAAGAGCATGATTATCGGCACGTGTTCGCAATGTGACACATTCTCGTTTGCAAGTTAGTTGCATTGAGATAAAAGAGACCATTTTCAACTTAATGATCCACTAAATGAGTCTATGTGTGCGACATTTATGATTGTAATGATGGGAAATCATTAGGCAAACGAACGAAAGAGCAAAAAAAGAGTGTCATCATCATTGCTGTGTCAACACTTGCTCAATTAATGAGCAGTCAAAATTTACACCTCAAATATAACTGACAATTATGTGTGCAATGGTGACATTTGCCAACAGTGATTGCAGTGTATATTTCCTCGAAACACAATGAGCAGAGACATTGACGCATTGCGGTTTCCGCTGCTGTGGCCTGCAAAAATAGTAACAAGAATACGGTTCACTGGCAAAGCACACTACGAATGCGATAAAAATAAAAATGGACATTGGGGAAGAACCAAGCTAAATCGAGAGATAGACGACATTTGAGATGATACACGCTTCGCCGTTCGGCACACACATTGGCGAGAAAGTGCGCGATCAGGCATGAGTTGCATTTTTACGAATTTGCATCATCGTTCTCTTTTCTTTTTTCTTTTTTCTCTCTCTGCCTCTCGCAACAATCTAAATGAAAAACTCATCATTTCACTGTGGCAAAGATAAATGAACGTCGATCGACCAAACAGACTTAATGTAGGCAAGTTTATTGCCCATGTCTACGCAACCGCCGCTTCGCGCCCATTTAAATACTCTCTTTGTTTGAATCAATTGAATTGATGTGGTTCTGTTTTTAATATACTCTTGTTGCATAGAACAACAACTGTTTAGAAGAAAACCGAAATGACCTTTTAAGTTGTCCGCTATCACACACTATCGATCTATTTTTAAACTGTTCGCGATTTTGCTGCAAATCAATTAAGTAATTGATATGACTAACAATTTTATACGGTAAAAAAGTTTTTTATTTGTGAATGTACTCGAATGGTCAATCTCCGATAAGCGAACTCCATTCTCAACTCAAGCATACTCAGGATGTTTGAGCTGAAGTGGAAAATATACTAGATCGCGATTTCACGATTGCAATAAGATTGACGACTATCTTTTGAATTATTACATTGGGTGTTTTCGATGTTCGTTACATCTATTGATCGTTGACATTATCACATCGGGAATATTGCTGCTGAGACACTCGAATGGAATTCGCAAACATGTCTGCGGTAGAATTTATACTTCGATCAAATGCGAGGAATGAGAGGCAGAGAGAGAGAGAGAGAGAGAGAGAGAATAGGAATAAGTTCTGTCAAGAATTCCACAACCAAAATGCGTCACAATACAAACCTTGCACTGGAAAGAACGTTGGTTTTTGGTTTTGGTTATGTCATCATTTTGTAATGATCATGATTATGTAGAAACCACAACCTTCAACTTAACAAAAGAAAAAGACACATAACTAAATAAATTACGTACGCCAAAAATGCAGTCGAAGTGATGAATTATACACGCTTTCCATTGTGATGTGTGAGTAATGTACAAGGTGGAGAGAAAAAAGAACGCACATGGAAAAGTGTTGACCAAATGGGCACGCGCCGGTGTATTTGCTGAATACGAAAGTAATTTGAGGCCGCAGACATAACGCGATTTTGCATTGTTTACATTGCACCCGGAGTTCAGTACCCTGACCAATGACCGAATTCTGCATTCATTTCCAATAATTTATTCAACAACCATTGTCGGCATGCAAATGAACGAATAACTAACCATATATACACACACACATCCAGTCATTCAGCACAGTGGAAATGAGGAATCCGATGTGTCTTTGAGAAACCAGTTCAAGAGTTTTTGAACAAAATGACTCACCGATAACAGAATACAAAACCGTTCGGTCAAAGGTTCAACGTGTGCAAATTAGATCATCTGAAATATGGAAATTTCCCACGATATTCAGTCGACGAATGTTACCTTTAAGACTCATCACCATGTGTCAGTTTTTATATCTTCAAACGTATCGTTATCGTTCATTTATCTCAAGTAAATAGAAGCCGAAAATATCATGAATTACCCCTCGAACAGCGAATACTTTATGATATCCATGACGGATATTTTGCTTTCCAAGCCATATTTTGGATAATTCACCAATAATAATGATAACTCATAATGACAATAACAGACAGATAAAATCGTAATTAAAATCCGAATATATATACATATCATTGCAAACACTTATCCATAATTGCACTCGTTTCCATTCGAAACAAAAAATCTTCCGTTTACATAGGTTGACGGCAAAATCGTAAAAAAAATAAAAACGGTCACGTGTTGCGTTACACCGCGTAAATTGTGTTATTTTACTGTCACTTGCGGCATTGGATGGAATGTTAGAAAGAACGGATGAGGTCAATTTATACAAACCATTCACATTCGCAATTCGCATGATCATCATCAGATATCACAGCATTTTTTTCCTGGCGATTTTTATTTTCTGAGCAGAGCCACTTTGCAACTTCATTGATTTTCGATGGTATCACACATACAAATATATACAGACACAGACACACACACACACACACATTTCAACGAAGACAAAAAAGAACACAGCAAAATTGCACAACAAAAAATTCAATTCGAATGTGTTGTGTTGGTCGAATGAACAAATAGTGTCGACATAAGACAATTAAAATAATAAAGTGATTGGCAGACGAACAAAATCATCGTAATGAATAAATCAAGCGCAAAGCAGAAGCTCAATAAGTGAGAGACAATGAACATGATTTGTTCTTCTCCTGAATTCTGTGTCAAGTTTCAAATAATAATCAATGATTTTATTTGATTTTTTTCTCTCCCTTTTTTTCCACTTCATCTATTTTGTTCGTTTGTGTTCATGAGTGATGAATTAACTGCTGAAACCAGTTGAAAATGAACAAATCAAATAGCAATAGTGCACACGCCGAACAACAAACACATTCGGCACGCTAATATTGCAAATTGCGTATTGTAGTATGAAGCAAACAAAGGTATAAGTAGCGAGAAAAAAAACAAACAATGCAAACGCGCTAACACGATCACAACCGAATGGAACGCAAACGAATGGACAACAACAAAACGTGTTCGACTTCATGCACCTTTTCGATGGAGTTGTGTGCGTATGTGCGCGTGTTTGTGTGTGTGTGTGTGTGTGAAATGGAATAACCTTGACCGAGTTTTCACTTTTGTTTCTCGGATGATTATACACATTCATTTTGAGCATTGAGCATTTGCAACACGAAACTCTATCTCTTGCAATAGATTTTAATTACCACGGTGATTTGTTTCTGGTTCTTCCTTCTCGCTAATCGTTTTGCTTTGGTTTGTTTTGGTCAAATAACCGCCCATTTCATACGTGATCTGCTCCAAAAAATATTTTTATGTCAAATTGTCTTATACAGAGATGCGATTATATGACAATCACACATTCAGATAATCACACTGCAATTATTCAAATGATACACACAACATTCCAAATAAGAATTGGCGAGAGAAAAAAACCGGCGCAAATGTTTTGGACGAATGGAGGTGAAAAAAGTCGTTTTCTTGTCTAACACTATAACCAAATGCTGAGTTTTACCCATATTCATTGGCATCGACCTTGGCAATTGTATAGAAACGCACGAAAGACGCTAAATTATTCCTTAAATCGGAGAGATATTGATTCCAAAAAAATGCATAATTTATGGTTGACTAGTAGGCGAAAAACCAATTCGTATGAAATCGTTCGAAAAGTCAATGTAAATAGGTGACTTGGTCTATGGCGTCATTTCAGTTGTTATATGGCAAAGTAGACGATACTGGAGCAAAGAAAGGAAATGAAGAAACCAATTGCATCCATGTTTTAAAACAGTTTGTTCAGTTGTTTTTATTATGGCACGGGTTATTCTTTCCGGTTCATCATTGGCAATATGCTTGGAGAAAAAAAAATTAGCTAGCCGTTGGCAATGAACAATCTATTATTGTTATAAATATCGATTGCTTGCTAACAGTGGCGAAACTAAAGGGAATAAAAATACACACTAGTCTTTTTTCTTCTTGCTTTTTCTAATTTTCATTTCATTTACGTGTGATGTAATGAACAATTTGCGCTGTTGCCAATAATAATGATACATTTGCACATGTAATGAGTCTAAAAATATATATTCGCACATCGTTTTAAGAAAAATTGCTCCCTGTAGCTATTCAATTATAATTATTGTTGTTGATTTTTATTTTCATTCTCGATTTTACCCAAAACAATTAAATTGTCAAATGAAAATGCAATATTTTAAAAAAAAATCCATGGAATTCAAATCATTAAACGACGCCAATAAAACTATAGGAAGAAAATACAATTATTCTAGCTAGATTGCACTCAAAAATAGCCGCGGTATTTCAGGTTTTATGATTATTATCATTTGAGAGTGTTGTGCACCGAACCGAATGAAGGGGAAAATTCGAAATTGTTAGAATTGTTTTCAAATATTTCTATACCTTGATGTTATTTCCAGTCATGTGATATCATTGTTTAATTCTTTTCGTTTTTTTCTTCTCTCTCTCCCAATATTTCTACAGAGATATTTACATGGACGCACTCCGGAAGAGGTGAAAACATTGGTATCGACTCGAACAACAGGAGCCACACCATTAGTAATTGCTGCGCGCAATGGTCATTACGATATCGTTAATTGGTTGCTCACACACACAAATGCTGACGTCGAAAGTACCGGTTCGGTGATCTTCGATGGCGAAACAATTGAAGGTGCACCACCGTTGTGGTGTGCTGCTGCCGCAGGATACTTGAAAATTGTAAAATTGCTTGTGAACAAAGGCGCCAAAGTAAATAGCACAACGCGTACAAACTCGACACCATTACGGGCCGCCTGCTTTGACGGACATTATGACATTGTCAAATATTTAGTAAAAAACAAAGCCGATATTGAAGTAGCCAATCGACATGGTCACACGTGTTTGATGATCGCGTGCTACAAAGGTCACTATCGTATCGCTGAATATTTGCTAAAATTGAATGCAGATGTGAATAGACGTAGTGTAAAAGGTAATACGGCACTTCATGATTGTGCCGAATCTGGTTCATTGGATATCCTGCGTCTTCTGCTCGCAAAAGGTGCCTCAATGGATGTTGATCACTACGGTATGACACCGTTGTTGGCCGCCAGCGTAACTGGTCATCTTCCAATTGTTGAGCATTTAATTAGCTTAGAATCGGTGTCGCGAGAGGATCGAATTGCTGCATTGGAATTAATTGGGGCCACATTTGTGGACAAAAAACGTGATATGGTCAGTGCGTTGGCAATGTGGCGCCGTGCAATGGAAGAACGTTACTTGCACGAACCATATTTACCAAAGCCCATTGCGAGAATTCAAGTGCATGCATACGATAATGCCGTCGAGGTAACTGATATTCAAGCTTTAGACGATTTAGTTATGGACCCAGATGCGATGCGAATGCAAGCACTTTTGGTTCGTGAACGCATTTTAGGACCAGCCCATCCAGACACAAGCTATTATATCCGATACCGTGGTGCTATTTATGCGGATACTGGACGATTCGATCGTTGCATTGAACTCTGGACATATGCTCTCAGCATGCAACAGCAAGTAAGTGTGAAACGATTCTGATTTGCGTCATTCAGAAGGAAATCTAATGTTTTCTCTTTCATTTTCGTTAAACAGGTGCTCGAATCTCTCAATCCCATGACTCAAAGTTCACTTCTCAGTTTTGCGGAGCTCTTCAGTTTTATGTTGGGCGAAGCCGGTCGCCCCGTTACACGGGGACGTGTTGTGCCACCAATTGAAGCATGTGATATGCTTACCGTATTCGATAAGGCAATCAAAGAAGTTGAATTAGGTCAGAAAATGCTCAACAAAATTCCAGAAGCACAACAAGATCCGCTCGCTATTTGCCGCGCTTTGGTCAGTGCACTACATTTGGCATGTCTGCTGGCACGACTCGTCGATGATGAAGACTGTGAACCTGTGATCAAGAAACAAGTATTAAAAGCGCTCCACAATTTAGTTAGTTTGAAAGTAAGTTTCGCTTTCATTCGCTCTAGGCTTTGATATTAAATGTCGCTCGTTTATTCTCCCTCGACAGATTGTCATTCGATCAGGAAGAACGGCATTACATTTAGCATGTTATCGTGAGGCAGCCCTTGTTGGACGGTATCCCGCTTGTCAATTTCCTTCACCACAATTAGTTAAGGCTTTGTTAGCAGTTGGAGCTGATCCAAATGTAAAAGATGAAGCCGGTAATACAGCATTGCATTTGGCTGCATTGGCACGACCTTGCCCACCCAGTCTTGCTCAGACATTAGTTGAACACGGCGCGCATTTAGTGAGTATCCAATTTAAGCGTGTTGACACACAATATCGGTTATCGGCCGAATCAATTTTTCGTTTGCATTTACTAATGTTTTTCTTAACCATTCCATTTTGGCAGGACACTCGAAATCACGACGGTGACACGTTTGAAACGTTGTTGCATGGACAAAAATTGCACGAGCTCGTGAATCCCGTGAAATATACCCGATTAACCTGTTTAGCAGCCCGCACAATCCAAAAGCATGGTATCAAATATAAAGATGAAGTTCCACGAAGTCTGCACGAGTTTATCGAATCACATTAAATATTTTAGGTTAAACATTTAATCAAGGAGTCCATTATTCATCCAAAAACAAGAAAAAAAATTCTGAACTTCAATTGAGAAACGAAACAGAAAAGAAAAATACATGAAAAAAGAAAACATAATGTTATATTTGAACTGGAGTAATTTACATAAATCACTCACACGATTTTGTTATAATTTATTCATACGAAGAAGAAGAAGAAGAAGAAGAAGAGAAACTGAACAGTGGACGGTTTCCTTTTTGTACCATGTGCACACGTAGGAACACAATTTTTGACATCTAGTGCGGATGGCGTGTTTAGAAACAGTGCATTGTAATCAGATGCAAATGAACCGAACTATAGGAATTTTCTCCAATTTTTTTTGTTTTAAAAAGAAAACATGTTGGGGGATTTTTTTTCAAATTCGCTTTTTGTTCGTTCTTTCATTTTGATCTTTTTGCTGTTTCACATCGAACAATCTTTTTCGTTAACCATATTCTGTCACCGAATGTGATCGAATTTCGTTGATAAAAAAATAGAGGAAATGAATGGTGAAAAGAAAAGATGAAAAACTACACAGAATATTTGAGCCCAAAACGATTTCGGTCAAAGTAGCGCAGCAGCAGCAGCGTTTGGTAAAAAATACCAAAATGCGAACTAAACTCATCCAGAGAATGCATTGATCGATTGATTGATTGTTCGAAATGTGACAATATAGTCAATATCTTGTATATTAAGATTTCATTTTTGTAAGATGATTTTTTCATATAGATAAAATTCATTTTTTTCAAGCTAACTTCAACATTGTAAGCTTCATTATTTTGATAATAAGCTAAACCAATTGATTTTGGATTTTGTACGACACAAAATTCGCAAATGAACTTTGAAGTTGTTCTTTGAGCAAAAGAAAAAGTCGAACGTGTGTTCCGTCACAAATACATTTTTTCTGTCTCTGTACCCAAATGTCAAATGAGCTGATTCAGTTGATGTTCATAGAACAATGTTTTTTTTTAACTTGGTAGTGATTGTTCGAATCTGTTTGATTCATCTTGCCCAAAATAAAAGTAGAAGAAATTTTGCTCTAGATGAAATTAGATTTGATCTAGGTTAACCAACAGACATTTATCAATTGTAAGCGATGTGGATTTGAGTACAGATTTAAAAAAAAATGAATGTAACCAGAAAATTAAATATTTAATTGAAAAAAAAATGAAGAAAAACAAGCGTCATCTTTTATTTCATGTTTTGTGTGTGTTTGCTTTATTATTCTTGATTTTGTTGGAAAAAATGTTTTTTTATGTTTATGTTGTTTCTGCTCTAGTTTCATCATGAATGTTTTCTATTGATTATATGATAATAATATATTTATTGAGGAGAAGAAGAAAAATGAACAATTAAAAGACTATTGCTTCCACCGCTGGTGTCTGACAGACAATTGTAGACATGTTGTATAGTTAAATAATAATTGAGTGCATAACATCATCGCCGTGCTACTTCAAACTGGATACTAATTCAATTTTATGACAATCTCCCAATCTCGAATGGCTAATTCGCCAATTTTATCGACCGAGTGAAAAAGTCTTTTGACACAATATCTTGGTCCAAAAAGGATTTGTTTGTTTGTTTGTTTGTTTGTTTTCTTTTTCTCATGGAAGAGGCATTATACAATAAAACGTCAAAAAGTTAAGTCTTAACATACAATTAGGTCAAATAAAAATCAAATTGGAGTTGAATTGTATGCGATTTGAATTTTAGTTTAAAAAAAGAGCTTGTGTTGTTGGGAGGGGGATTTTGTAAAACGCCTGATCCTTGCTAATCCTAAAACTACATGTAAAATACAATAATTGAACTTGAACGTGTCATGAATGCATGAAAGCAAATCGCCAACGCCGATTTCTCCATTGATTTCTTCCGATTAATTAGCCAACGATTCTCATATCTCACGACCCCGAGTCATTTGTATGCATTTCGACACCATTTACTGATCCATTCCCAATCATGCGAAAAACAACAGGAAATTCGATCTCATACATTTCACGTCAAGGAAAGAATTCAACTTAGAAACGCTTTTAAAATTGTACATTATTCTAAACAGTTTTGAATCTACGAGAATTGAGATGCAAAATGTGAGTATTACAGTTAAAAGAATGAAACTTCAACTTTGCGACCATCGAAACGTGATCCGTCTTTGAGTTCTGCAAAAGATGAATGAAAAACAAAATTCGATTAAAATTTTTAACATTTAATGCGAAGAAAATATATTTAGTTTCAAGGGACTTACTTATAGCCAACTCAGCGTCACGTTCTTTCGCAAACCGGACCACACCACAATCTTGTCCGCGGATTTCAGCGAATTTCACTTCACCGCATGATCGGAATTCGTCTCTCAATGTTTGCCATGTGCAATTTGGCGGCAACTACAATTTGGAGAAGAAATGAACAAAGTTAGTGCATCAATTTAAACGGAGATTGCTGCAATTTTCATAAGTTCATGAACAAATTGAAACCATTTGTCCATTTTTCAATGAGTTTAGCACTTACATTTCGGATTAAGATTGTGTCTGAGATGTTTTGCGATCGAACGTTGCCACCAATGTTTGAATTGTTCGAGCCTGCACCGTTACCGAGCTGGGAAGAGCTGAAGTTTTGCGTTGACAACCGTCCAAAGTCATCGGATTGCGAATTGTAATTGCGAACCGAGCCGATATCGAAATCACGATTTGACACAAAGCCGCTGTTTGCATTCGAACCAAGACCACTGCCCAGATTTGAAGACATACTGTTGAATGTGTTGCTGCTGTATGGGTTTGAAAGTGAGTTTTCTAGACGATTCGACTGATTTAGGCCACTGCCAATACCGCTGAGACCTGAAAAGTTTCCACTGCCACCGCCGCCAACCACACTATTTAAGCCGGCATTGGCCGATGACGAGCCAGCTCCAACGATTTTATTGATGTCAAGTGCGGCGGCATTTGACGAATCATTTGTATTAGTAGCAAGTGAACTGAGGCCCAAGGTCGACAACAAGGGATTCAAATTATTCAAATTGCCAACGACATTGTTCAATGCAGCCAAGTTACTCATTGAATTTTGTGTTTGATTCAAAACGCTTGCAGCAGATGAAAACGATGGTGGTGGTGCAACTGGAACGGGTGCATTCGAATTATTTGAACTGACGCCAAGATTGTTCTGATTTTGAAGACTTGGCAAATTCAATGCAACATTACGCAATGGTTCACCATTTGGACCCAAACCCATACCTAACGAGAGAGAGAGATAGAGAGTAGAAGAAGAGAAAGAGAGAAGGCGCGCATCGGAAACGAAACGCAAAACAAAATCAAAACAATGCACTCAATGTTTGGCCCAATTTTTGGTAAGTGTATGTGTCTATCTGTGTAATGTCACTTTATCAGAGAATAAAGAGAGGAGGGAAATGAACAAGTGTTGTGTATATGAGACATACCGAGGCCACCTAAACCGTCGGGCAATTTTTCTTTCGTAATTTTATCCATGCGAACAGTCATGCGACGATCGAAGAGTAGTTGGTGATCAAGCATTGAAATTGCTTGGACCGCTTCAACCGGATGCTGGTATTCAACGACAGCGAAACCTCGACTGTTACCATCTTTATCAACCGACAATTCGACATCCATTACGCATCCGGCTAATTTAAAAACTTGTTTCAATTTCTTTGCATCAACCTTGTAGTCCAACTGAAATGAAAAGAGAAAGAGAAATCGCGTTTGCAATCCGTTGTAATCAATAAAACACACGAAACACCCGACTATTTTTCATAAACTGCATTAAAATCGACTTAAATCTCGATTAGATTCATTGAGATCGTCGACGACTTCAGCTAAAATAACTTAAAAGCTTCGAATTTGTTTTTAAAACGATGCCTACAACTAGGATTTTATCTATTTTAAGCAAGGAGTGTGTAGCGTTCAGGAAACTGTACAAACTGGCAATGAAACGACTGTTTCGTCTATAGTCAAATAAAGAGGAAATATGCGTCATGGAACCACATTTGGAATGCATCAAAATGCAAAGAAAAACTAATAAATAAAGTCACTAGGCCAAAGAAAAAACTGAAAACGAAATATCGAACTGATACACAGATAGTTCGCAGAAACAGCGAGCAATTTTCACATCGAAATTGGCCGAAATGCGATATTCCGATTCAAATGAAAGCAACCGATTGCTGAATGTCAACACTCTCAACCGACAGAGAAGACAGAGAAAAAGAGAGAAAGAGAAAAATGAGATTTTGCGCCCGAACGCCACATGAACAACAGACGAATAGACAACTACGCACTGGAATAGGAGCAAAAAGCACTTAAAACGCTGAAGGAGAGAGAGAGAAAGAACGAAATCATACTCACATTGGCAACAAAGACTTTGGTATGCAAAGGGCCGACAATGTTCAAACTAGCTAAGAACGATGGACTCAATCCGTATGTGTTGTAATCTTGCTGCTGATCAAAACTATTATAGCTACCCGATCCGCTGTTACCTTTGCCACCATGGCTGCTATTGTTGTGCGACCTAAAACATTACAAACGTGTTTAAAAAAAAAAATAAAGTAGAAATTTTGTCAGATGGGATTTGCTTTGAGGAAAGTCAATTTACAAACGAAAAAAAAATGAAATAAATTTCTACAGAATGTGTCAAAATATAGAACGGACGGAGCAAACGAGAATGTTGATAAAAACATTATGTTGATAATATAATGAAATTGAATGAACCCCAATCGCGTCGCAGAGGGAATTATCAATTCTTTTTTCACGGTTGAAAAACATTGAGAGCAAACCGACACAGAAAAGAATGAATTGAAAATAAATGAAACACTAACAAGTATCGAGGTGTGTCATCATCACGATCTCGTCCTTGGTTGCGTCGCATGCCACCACCACCACCACCGCCGCCGCCTCCTCCTCCTCGCGATGTGTCCATATTTTGGCTTCCACGAGCAATTCGCCCGAATTTATCGCGTTCTTCGCCGTGATCCTCCTTGACAACCAACTCACGCCCATTCAAATCATAACGATTCATGACTTCAAGCGCTTTGCCCACATTCTCCGGATCTTTAAATTCAACAATGCCAACACCGCGCGCTTTACCATTTTCATCAGTAAACATTTCAACGTACTCAACATTGCCCACCATTCGCCGGAACAAATCTTTCAGATCCTGCCATCTGTATTCGTACGGAATATTTGAAACGTACACACGTTTGCCATTGCCACCCATTTTATCGCGGCTTCTATCGCGCGATTCATTGTCTTTGTTATCAGAAAAACGTGTACTGCGCTCCCCTCGTCGGCCGCGGTCTCGTTGCTTTTCAATATCACCCAACGATGAATTACCGCCGTTCGGACTCTCCATTGCGTCTCTCAATGCAACCAACTGAACGCACTTATTTAAAGAAAAAAAACAACAATAAGCGGAAAAAAATCGGCTTGCAAATGGATAGTTCAAAATTCAATGGACAAATCCACACACACACACACAATGCCAACGTTAAACAAATTTTAGATTCCCCCGTTTGTGCCCACGCTGAGTTTGATTTGCAAATTTTGCATACAGCGAAAAAGACAAAAGAAAAATGGCGGCCTATGGACGAAAAACGAAATGCTTTTAAGATGATTGTGAGTTCTTCTCCACCAATTGTGGATGTGCCACGGAGTTTTTTTTCTCGATCAAATAACGAATGCCAATGAGACGGATTGCACTTTAAACCATTGATCACTTAATATTTTACACTCAATGCAAGCGAATATACAATTTTTTTTTATTATCAATCGCAGAGAATGTGATTTAGTCAAAGGAACAACAAACAGAATTAAAAAACTAATGGTAATCAATGTGCCAACTTGAAGACGTCAAATGGCATCACTCAACTCCAGGGTTGACCAAATGGTTGCATGTAAACCGGCAAAATATGTTGCACATTTTCATGATTTTCGATGAAGAAAAAAATGAAAAGAAAAGTGTTCGGTTTTTGAATTGAATTAATTTCAAGTAGAAATTCAATTTTATTTGGAAGTTTCGTGTAGTCTAAACAATGAAGAAGGTATTTACTCAGATATTGAATCTCAAACTCACGTGATATTGTATGTGATGTGAAAAAAACCGGCACGATGACAGTACGGATGGTTTAGTATTGCCAACTTGATTCGTGCAGCGTGAGTATTGACACAACTGATTGTGTTACTTTGACATTTGTCGAAACGTGATAAAAAAATATTCCCGAAACAAGAATCACTTGGGCAGTACATCGTCAACCGAAAAGTTCAGCAACGAGTGAAACGATTATAATTAAATTAATTTTTTCGTTGATTTTTCAATGAATGCAATTCAATTCATTCTTTTTGTTTGCAGAATTTAACATGTTGCGTTCAATTTTACCGATTGTGAGAGGGTTTACCTCTACCACAATTCGAACAATCCGTCGAGATGGCAACCGAAAACCGAGAGACATGGCCGGAGTGCGAATTCAGCAGAGTATTCTAAACAATGTGGACACATTGGAAGAGGATCCAGAAATGACATATGAGGCAGATTTTACGAAACTACACTTATCGCATCGTCAGCATGAAACAGAGATGGAATTGCAAAAGGAGCAACTCAAATACTACACAGTGCGGAGCAAGTATTTCAAATCAAAAAAGCAGCCACAATTTTTGACCTGGGCAGAAAAAGAGCAAATACGACATTTGAATAAAACTAATCCAGATGAATGGACACCGTCGCGGTTGGCCGAAAGTTTCCCAGCCGTTGAAGAAGTAATCATTAAGGTGTTGAAAGCCAATTGGACGCCGGCGAATTTGGAACGTGTGAAAAAGCACGATGAAGCGGTCAAACGCAATTGGAAACAATTTAAAGCCAACGAAATGAAAGATTTAGATCCCGAAGTGAGTGAGCATTTGCAAAAATTCAGCAATCGTAACTTTGATAGTACTCAAAATGCCTACGTACAAACTAATATCGATCAGACCACATTTCAATTTCCGAAACCAAAAAGCAACGAATTTTCACACATCATTTCGACGTGTAAAAGAATTGATGCAGATGCAAATAAAGAATTGATTGGTGACAAGCCGAAATACCAAATCGAAGAGAATAAAATGCAGGAACTATCATCTGATGCACCCGTATTGAAGTTACCATATTCGATGCGAAAACGTGTGTTAACTTTTGAAGAACTTAAAGCAAAGGCAAAATCAGGTTATAGCAAAACACAAGATGATGAAGTGCACTTGAGTGTATCGTTGCTCAAGGAACCAGCCGTAGAAACACAATCTAATGTAGTGGAAACACCAGCCATCGCTGAAAGTCATGCTATTGAAACATTCTCAGCTGAAATTGACAAAAATAACGTGGCTGAAATTGATACTTATCCTGACGAATCGAAAAGCGATCGCGTTGTAAATTTAACATTGGCCGACGTTTCTTCAAGTAAAAAGATTACAAAGTACGCCTCAAAACCGTTGTCATCGTTGGCAACATTTAAAAAAGACGTTTCGATTCCTTTTCGACGGAAAATCGAAATACCACAGCGGCTACAAAAACATGGCTCTGTTTATAAGCTATACGATTGTTTCTATGACGACCGAGGTGAATTCCTGTACAGAGTTCCCGGTCTAAGAAATTAGCACATCTTTTTGTTTATTAAAGTAGATTGTAATTGTTACCTTCTGTTGTGAAATAAAACGACAAAACGCAAACATAAAATACGGGTTTTTTTAATTCACTTTTCTCTTCTTTTGTTTTGTGTTTCAGACTAAATCTACAATGTTTAAATCTATATCCTATTTAATCATTTCCGCTTCTTCCGACGAGTCGCTGGTGTGAATGAATTTTTCTTGCTCTGTTATGATGTGCTCATTGGCGCCATCGTATGCAATACGATTATAAGCGTAATTTTTTTTATCGGCACCGTTTGGCGTTGTGGTGGCAGAAAATGATTTCCACACCGCACGAACCGTCAACACGATTATTGTGACTATTACAATGTAAATACAGACTAAATAAATGGATACATGATTAAAGATTAGTGATTTGTAACTAAAATTGTGCATTGTGACATTGGAATTGTGTTCGTTGTCAAAGAGTTTAACGACTTGTGGCCATCCACTTTCGTGTTCGCCCGGATCGCAGTACGTTTCATTTGGCGCAACTTCGCGATAGACCATTTCGGGTGTGCATTCAGTGCAGTCATGGTCTAGTGGACCTCGGCATCGAAGGCATGATGTATGACAAGGTGCACATTGTTTTTGCGGTACATTCGGCAAAACAGCACGTTTTCGAGGCGGTGAAGAAGGTGTTGCTGTTGTTGTTGTCGATGTGCTGGTGCTATTCGATTTCGTTTTGGTATTTGGCGTTTCTGGTAACATGAATGTCCGTTCCGGGCATAATGTATAACAGCGCCCCTTATAATTGAATGTCGTCTGCTCACACACTATCGAAACAAAAAGAGAAACAAAAAATCAATCGAAAAATTGTCAAACACTGAAAGTAGCAGCAAGAAAAGCGGAAAAAGTTGTTTTTTGGAAAAATTGTGAAAATGAAATCTTCATGAGAGAGCGTGCTTGTGAAAGCGGAAATTTATTATTTAAAACTATGTAGAAACATTTATTTATTTTTTTCTGCACTGAGTCAAGTAAAACACAATCAACTTATAATTAAGAGTTATTTACAACATTGAAAAATATCACAATAAATCTTTTTTTTTATTTATATCAAATGGCGACAGTTTTTTTTTGCCCAATATGTAATTTGGCTGAATCAATTGAAAAAAAAAATTTAAACGACTCCAAATATTTTTCACATAAAAATATGCCAAACATTTAACATGCAATTCTCGCATACAGCGACAATAATCAATAAGGCGGAAATGTAAACAACAAAAGTGAACAGTGCACACAGAAATGTATACTACATGGAAAATAAAATGCAAATTTTTTGAAGAAAATAGCAAAAAAAGGAAAAAAACAAACAAACAAACAGAAAAAAAAAATTCATGACAAAAACAAAAACTAGACTCACCGACAGAAGTGATATGCTATGCATTCAAATTGGTTGTGCATTTATTTTTGATTGATATGTATATGAACTGTGACTGTGTGTGTGTGTGTGTTTATCTGTGGACATCTACTTGTGTATTCATTTTCATGAAAAAAAAAAACGTTTCTACGATATTGTGTTCGTCAAACACGATGCATATATAAGAAGATATACAAAGCGGGAATATGTGAGCCCATTTACCTTTTTAGATTTTTTGTTTCAAAATTTGTGTGTGTACTGAATTCAAAGAGTAAAGAGTGTTAGAAGACTTTTGTTTTGTGGTTAGTAGTTCGAATTAGAAACATGAGCAACGAATATGAATCAGAACATGGCTCAGAAGGAAATTCATATCATTATTTTTCTCTCTCTTATTCATACTGAAAAAAAGATGTTCATCTAAAGACTAAAAAGTGATGTTAAGAAAATTGATATATTTTTGTTGTTATTGTTGTTGTCAAAAGCCACAAAAATGAAAGAAGAGTATCTAGTTGAGGTTTTTTTGTTTTGTTTTTTTTCTCATACGAATGTATTTGTTTCAAGAGACTATTTGTATATAAGTTTATCATCATTTCCCCGTGCATGTGCCACGTGGCGCTTTTTTGGATTTTTTTTATTCTTTTCTAATTAATTTAGCACAATTAACATAATGGTATCAGTAAGGTTTAAATTCTATTATCATATACAGATAATGTTAAGTTAATCTGCACATATTTTTGTTTTCATTTTTGTCCGGTTGGTTGACGCCATGTAAAACTATATTTATATATTCATTGTAATTTGTTGTTTTTTTTTCTTCAATATTCTATCAATATTTTAATTATAATTATTTTTGTTTACCCAGGATTGTTTATGTATATTTAACTTAAGTTGCCTTTATCAGCTGCACTAAATCCACGTAATTGTTCTGTATGTGTATGTTTTTTGTTAATCTTTTTTTTGCACATTGTCTGAAAACTCGTTCTCACTTTAAAAATTTTAATTCAGCAATTGGTTCAATTTACAATTTTACATACAATATTGATTGCTCATAAAGAGGCAATCTTTTAAGAGAAAATTCCACCTTATACCTAGTAAAATGTTGAAATATATATACAACATAGGATTCGTTTATAGTCTAAATTGGTTTTGCCGTATTCATGAATTTCCATCGAAATTCTCGTGTTTTTTTTTCTTCAATTTTTTCATTAGTATTTCCTAAATCGTTTGCATTTTAGCTTTTTATTGCATTAAAAAATTCATTAATTTCATTGAATCCGTTTGAATGCACAGAAATGCACGCATTTTTTTAAAAAATCACTTATCTACCTAGTTTTTTTGTTTTCATTATTCAAAAAAAAAAAAAAAAATTCAGCGGAGCTATAAACAGTGTGGGCTTTTTAATTGGGTGTGATTTTCGAAAAATATTTCAATTTTTTTTCGATACACAGTGGGAAAGCGGGTTTTCCTTGCGCTTGTTCGTTTTTTTTTAATATATCAATTATTAAACGGTTGAGAAACCACACGTATTCATCCAAATCGCCTTCATTCTTAACGTCAAAAGATGTGAATGAATACATTTTTTTTGTTGTATTTTTGCCGTAAAAAATAAACCCTGTCTGCGGAAAAATCAGATCAGAGTGCATCTAGTGTTGTTATTCAGGCGTGAGCTGATTGATTTTTCCGAACAAAAACGGTTGTGAAAACGTTGAGTGGGACTGTTCGTTAACTGTTTTTTTTTATTGATTTTTAGTTGTTGTTATTGTTGTTTTGTTTTCAAACATTTGCAACAGTGTTTTACATATTTGTATTTTGATTGCTACCATAATTTGTAATAATATTCCTTTCATCCAATCAATGACAAAAACTACTCCGCAAATAAACTTTTACCAGCACATTCAACAGAAACTCGTGTGTAAATATAATTCTGTAGACTATATAGAATACAATGAAGGGGGAAAAACAGTGTGTAACCGATGGATAACTCTGAACGAAATTAAGAAAATGGATATGTTTATTAAGTTGCAGTTGAATATTGCTAGAAATAATACACGGTTCCGTGTTCCAATTAGTTGCGGTTTTCTTCTTCGATAAAATAACAAACAAACAAAATAGACAAGTGATATGCGGAAATACTAACGCTAATCAAATTGTGTATAAGAGCTCAATTACAAAAACTAAAAACTATTTGGACAAAATAAAAAAAAAACAAACGCAAAGAAAATACCAAGAAATATACAATCCAATATTCACCAAAGGGAAAAAGCACCCCTTTGCTCTACTTTGTGTGTTTCCGCATATATTCAAATGCAAGAGGTTTTGGTTGCACACATTCAGTCTGAGGCTCAGATTCTGAGCATGCGACATTATCTCAAAAATTGCATCGGGTTTTTAGTTGTGCGGTATCGCGGAGAGAAAGAGAGAGAGAGAGAGAGAGAGAGAGAGAGAGAGAGAGAGAGAGATGTTTATTGCACATCATGAAAGCGATAGGCCGATATAAATCCAAATCCCAATCTTTTATTCATGTCCGCTTTTTGGAGCTCTTTGAAGCTAAATGAGTCGGAAAATGGAATTCACATTAATTGTAAGGGTGTTTTTGACATGCAATTTAGCTGCTCATGTGTAAAAGGCGAGGCAAAGCGTTCAACACATCCAGAGTGATTAACACGTCCAGCTCCGCAATTCAAAAGAGAATAAAATCTCTTTGTACGAGATAAACTCCTGAATGATATTTAAATAGCATAGAAATTGCTGTGAAGGTTTGTAACGAGATTCTTCATTCATATAGAATATTTACATGGAATTTCGTCATGGAAATGTGTCATCAAAGAACTTGAGAACATTTGATTTTGCTGCACTATTTGTTTTTGCATTTCTGCAGCTAGTTTTGATGTCTCCCATTGAATTTTCATGAAGATTAGCACAATCTTTGCAACAACCAAAAAAAAAACAAAAATTCCCCATGCTATGTGTTGGCACATTTCAAACAAATAAATTAGTATACAGTTTTTCATCAAACTTGTAATTAATCAATCAACACGTTGAATTGTGGATAATAAATAACGGAAACAGATACAACAAAATGTACACTGTTGGAAACACCCACTCACAAAATTAGCAAAATGAAGATCGCATTCGAAATATCCAAATAATTACTGTGAACACTTATACACGTTCGGAAATGCATGGTTTTTACTGAATTGTATTTTGTATTGTAAACTGTGTGAAAAACATTTTTTCCTTTCGATACCGTTCAACATCACACGTCAGCTCATGCCAGTCAATTGCTGGCTAGGAACATTCTCCAAAAACAAAAATCCCAATAGAATATTATAAACATTGAAATGTCTATTTACATATTTGCAAAGACTATAGAGAAAAATAGAAGAAACTATAAACAAGACAAACAGAAAAGAAGACTATATAGAAAGTACACAACAAGAGCGACGTTAGAAATATTGCAACTGCTTTACTATAGAGAATAGAAGAATGCTCTGATAAAATAATAACACGAATTGATTGATACAAAATGAAGCAAAAAAAAAAGTCGTTCATCGTTTGAATGATATCGTAGCGCTCTTTGAATCTATATATGTATATAGCTGCCAATTTTCTGTGAGATTTTAGTTCAATATAACGCACTCTCAAAATTACAAAACTAAATATACAGACATATTTATAATTTTGGCTGAACTATGGACTATATAATTTCGCGATTACGTTTCGGGATCACGTTTTTGTTGTTGTTGTTTTTCAATTGGCGCTGATTCTCTTTGTTTAATTTGCAACACTTAACGTTATACTAGTAGTCTATAGACAAATAAAAAGGTTTTTTTTTTGTTTACAATCACTAGATCAATACCATCAACAAAGATGGCCAGATGTTTGTCGATACGATACAGTCGATAAGTAATTTTGATTAATCATTAAATTGATTTCGTTATTGTTTTTATTGTTGTTGTTATTATTGATTCGAGACAAATTATTACGATTGTTTTTCGATTTGAATTTGGCTAGATTAGCTAATGAAACGATAGATTCGATAGACGTCATTTGGTGTAGTAGCGGTAGATAGGTTGATAATAGCAATAATATACAACACAAACCTATGCAATATTTATTGGGTAATTGTTTTAGGCATGCCGAATCGGTTTGATCGTTGGAGGCCGCTGTTCGTTGCACATCAATATGGCTTTCTCCGCTCTACAGTCGAAATAAAAAATAAAAAACAAATGAATCGATATAGTGACGTTGATTGACATTACGATTACAATATGGCGTGACAGCAGCGATTTTTATTCAATTCACCTGATGCAACGTTCGCCATTGTCCAGTTTCCGTTTGATCAAAATCCAAATTCTGATCAATTTCACCAAATAAATTGGCATCTGGTTGTGGATAATCAAAGCTTTTTGGGTCGTTTGTTTGTGCAGGCTCCTCGGTTCCATGCAAGATAAGGCCCCATTGCGTTACTTGAGCTAGATTCAACAAAGAAAGGATTGAAAAATTGAATTTAAGTGTCAAAATTGTCAATATGACATGTACAAGTTATGCATGCAAACATGAAAGAAAATGGAAAAATTACGTAAGTAGGTGTTAGTGCGTTTATACAAACATTGCAAAAAGAATAACGTAAAATGGATTGAAATCAAAAAGGGATAAAATATAATCGGTGATATGGGCAATATAAAATGTTGAATGTGTCAGTTGAAAAAGGAGAAAAATAAAGCTCAACGTCGCTTTCCCTCTCCCTTCCCCCCTCTCTCTCTCTCTCTCTCTCTCTCTCTCATGTACATTCATGTCTTGGGAAATCAGATTTGGCTTGGTACAAGGCGCTGAAAATGTTTTAAATGCACTTGATTTGACAGCCATTGTTGCAGTATAAACGGCATTTGACGTCGGATTCTTTTTTTCTCCCGCTGCTCCCATACATACGGTTCCATTTGTTCTGTGTGGCGCTGAAACTGATCAAAATCACATTTTATATTTGGCACATACCGCTTTTTATTCGAACTGATTCACTATACACACATTCGTTTTCCGCTCAGCTTCACACTGTGCATGGATGTGTTTGTTCGACGCAGCACAACTTGTTTTATCGTGAGCACATTTTATGTTTATCTTTTTTCTGCGTATTCATTGAATTAATGCCAGATAATAAAGGCTGATATATATATTTGTTTGGAGTGAAGACAAAACTGAAAATGGCCGAAATTTCTATGCCATGTCCAAAACACTTTCCGACGGCATTCCATGGCATTTTCCGCCGCAAAGTGAAAGAGGCACATCGGTGGTTTGTGTGTGCTTTTGCGAGCTTTACGAGCATAATGAAAAAAAAGAAGAATGAAAATCGTCGATTCGGCACAGTTTCATGTGCCCATAAAATGTCTCTATGCTTTGCGATAGAGTATAAAATCGTTTTGCTTCGGCCACTCTTGTTTTCTATGTCATTCTGGTTTTTGAAAACCAACAATGCCATCGGATACTTAGTGGGGGCCATTTTTTGATTCAGTTCAATTGCTCAATGTGGTATGAATTCATGAGCGTAGAGAATATCGCAACGTTGCTGTACACTGTGTTTTGGGCTCATTTTTTTTAACAATTGAAGAAGGAGAAAAAAGGGAATAAAGTCTGGTGAACACGAAAATTGCCAGATCGCAATAGATACATACATTGAATACACTTCATGCGGAAGACGATTGGACGTTATGAACGTTGAAATGGGCATTACATTTAATTTTGCTCCTTTTTCTTCCAGTGCACCCATCTTCCGTTCGGCATTTTCTTGTTTTTTTGTCTTTAACTGCTCGATTGTTGCCAACACGCAAATTTATATTTATGTCCATTTGGTTGTCTCATCGGCTTTGATGATACATTCTTTGTGCCGCACAATTTTCAAGTGGCGAAAAAAAACGAGCGTTCATTGTATTTACGAAGGAATTCTATTGATTTTGGAACAAGTCCAGTGGCAATAATTAAAAAGCATTGCTCGCTGGAATTTGAGGCCATTCGGTTTTTCGGCGCTTCCTCGCTCACTCTATCTCTCTCTTCATTCGCACCGAACGAAGAACAATTTATATGGAATGGGAATATGAACGATAGTGTTGCGAATCGAACTATAATTTGCGGAACGAAACGTGATGGTGTCCAAATTATCATCAATAATTCGACGAACGCCTCCCATTTTCGAATGAGCAACCGAAATAGAAAGGGAGTTGTAATTACATAAACTGCATAATTTATGGTAGCCAATTTCAAACAATGGCATATATTATTAAAATCCTTCTACAAAAACTCTTCTTATTTTGTCCAATTTACGCATGCAGCACAAACTGGTTAATTTGATGTGAGTGAAAACGCCGCCTTATCTGCACGCAACAATGAGAAACCGACCATATTTTAATGAATATTTTATTCACTTAGAAAACGGACCCAAACGATTTTACCATTGTAGTTTGAGTCATTTTAACTGAAGTAAACATATTTCAAATGGGCCTTACTGCAATAGCAAATGAGCATTAATATCTTGAAACCTTCCAATGTAGTATAAATCCACAGATATTACTATAGTTGCAAATATATCTTTCACTGACTCAACGCGTGCAATGGTCGCCGTGCATTGTCGCATTTTGAAGAAAATGTGAAAAGACAATGAACAATTGGACATTTCAGTTGAATTTGTAGCGGTCAAAATCGGATATGTTGAGTATTTGCTATGGAGAATCCTGTGATGTTTGCTAACTTCTGACTAAGCAGTTGCCAAAAATATTCGTGTTGATATTATTAGTGAGAGTATTGAAATCAGAGCACTTGAAGGTTGCTGATTTTGATGAGAGAAAGATTACAAGCATTCTCATATGCTATCACACTGAACGTGACCAAAATGAGTTGCTCACTTTCATGTTCCCCATATTTTTACCCTAAAATTCCAAATATGACAGCATTTCCACACCTTCCATTAAAGAATGCAGAGAATCCCATTTTTGATTAAAAGAGGTGATGCTAACACTTTCAGGCTTTGTTATGCGCTAAATCCATCACGCTGAATAAATTCATGCGATAGATTTATGCGATAAATGTGATGCGCTCGCTTTGCGGTGAACGAGTTCTGTTGCTCTTCACTACCGCTTAGCGATGCGTTCACTGCAAAGCATGAACGTTCATGAGTGAACAACTGAAGAGCAACAGACTTCGTTCACCGCAAAGCGAGCGCATCACATTCATCGCATAAATCTATCGCATGAATTTATTCAGCGTGATGGATTTAGCGCATAACAAAGCCTGGACACTTTTTGATTACCTCACTGGAATGCATGATTAGAATAATTTTTCGAGGAACTTGTTGTGAAAACTCAAAAATTTAGTAGCAATTTGAAATATTTCATCCCATAGTTTGATGCGCCCCAAACGCATTTGACTGGTTTTGTTTTTATGGATATTACAACGGATTTTGGTGAAATTTATTCCACTCCCTTAAATTGCTTGAATTTTCCATCGAAAACTATTTCCGGCTAGAGTTTCCGGGGAATTTAATGTAAAATTAAAACTAACGCAAATACTTTATGATTTGTTAATACAGCAGTGATGAAACAACTTTCTAAAAATTGCCGCAGAAAAGAGGTATTCATTATTCACTCGGAGAAATTCACTACATTCCTGTATGAACTTATTAATTCATCACAGTGTATTCCATTTTTTGATGTACAGAACCAAGCAAAGCGGTAAATAAATGTTGCACATTGGTTGAATGTAAAAACAAATGGCCTTTTTTGCAATGTAATTTAGTATTGTATCACGCACGATTACGGGGATAAATAGAATGAAAGCGTGTGTATGTGTGTTGTTGGTACCTGTACAGAAAGAATGTTACCGTTCCAGCTGCTTTTAACGTGCATTAGTTTTCTCGAACTTTTGAATCAGACGGAAAACATGTGTAAATGGGTATGTGCCTTTATTTATCGCTTGCTTTTAGTTTCCAGCAGCTTTATTGTTTTTTCATTTGGAGAGAAAACTCGTAGCGGATTTTTTTTTCACTTTGCAAACTCATTTCCGCTGATTTTTTTCTGTCTCTCTCTCTCTCTCTCTCTCTCCCTCTTTCTCTCTCTCTTTCTTGCCCATTTTCAACTACCGTATATTTACCGCCTACAACATAGGCAAACGCCATACGCAGTATTTTAGTTTCCGGATTTCAAATATTTATCATGTCACGGGGTGGCCATACATTTTGCGTTAAATTAAAAAAGTTTCCGATTTATATGTAGACCTCCTTACTATCTCATCGAAATTAATGTCGTTTGCAGACGGTGAAAGAGTGGCAGAGAGGGAGAGTGTGAGTTTTGAATCGTTTTAACTTTGAAACGCTGTACAAAGTACAGGAAATCCAAATGTATTGGCAAAACGTGCGGGTGTTCGAGAACCATTATTAGTATTTCCCTTTGAAGCTTGAATTTTATATCAAAGTGGAAAAAAATCTTGTTTTTTGCCTGGTGGTCACCTGATTGGTATGACTGAACATATAAATGGGGTTGAATTTGTGGTTTCAAACACCAACTCATCAATGTATCAGCATGAATTAGAATTGTTCATGTTTTTCATCACCAAGTATTTTGACCTCTTTTTTACATTTATTTGCGTTAGCCCATTATTTATTTGGAGCATACATTGTAATAATGTTGTTGAAATGAAATAAAATTTGCATGCATGGATGCAATACCATCTCACTCTGACATAATTCAATTTTAGCATAATATTTTGTATTGTGATATTGGGCACCCGGTGTGTGGCACACGCTATGTATGACAGCAGCAAAGGCAAACAAAAAGTAAAATCCAATTTTTGCTGCTTTGCTTCCGAAAATAGAATTCCGTTGTGCTCGACAGTTGCTTGTAATATTGAAGCAAGTATGCAAATAGCATAGCATCCCTTTCGGAATCAATACACTATGCTATTGCTGTTGAGTGTGCACGTAGTCTACGCTCCTATGTGTCTTATTTGAGCGTTTCACGGGATGTATTTAATACATTGTATTTTATGCTGTGATATCACACTGGTGTGAAATTCCAGCAGATTTTTTCTTTTCAAGTTTTCTTTCAAGGAAAGAAAAGTCTTCATCAAACGCATTTGTTGTGAATAAAATACAAAAAAGTCATAGGAAGAACATAAAATATGAGAATGCATTCTTAGATTGAAGTTGATGCAAAATATTTTCGCAACTTTTCAAAGGGACGACACATTTTACAGATTCGAGCGTATTCACAACGAAATTGTAACAATAATAAAAACTAGACGAATTCAAGAAAAGGATTACATTTTAAAAAGTAAATAAAAGAGTCTTTACGATAGCAACTAGCTCTTGAAATGCAGTTTTAAATATGGCTTAAATTTTTGTTCTATATGCACGGAAAAGCGCTTTGACTCAATGGGGAAATTTAAACAGTAGATAGTGACAAAGACGAGCATAAAAAATGAAAACTTTCCGACAGAGTTTACTCTGTTTCCAAGAAAAAATTTATTGTTTTTCTCTCATACCGCTTTGCGCTTAGGAAGTCAACGAAAGTCATGGCAACATACTTAAGCAGGTGTAATTTGTAAAAACGAACAATATGGTTTTAAATTCTCTGTTAAATAATCATTAAATTGCTATTATCGTTAAAGTGAATATGCAAAATGCTTTAAAATGAGATAGAGAGAGTTGTCTGATTAATACAACATTCATCCAAATATGGAGCAAACCGTCTAAATGTTTAATTGCGTGCTTTGCATGTACTTGGGATACATGGGAATTAAATGGCGTTCGGTGAATGTGTAATGAGATTTAGGTAGTCTCAATTTAGGGCTTTTAATTTGCATAAATAAACGATTGCATATGTTTATTTGCATTGTTAATGTTTCGAATGTATAAATCTTTGTCTGTATTTCGACGTGTCCCAAAAAAGAGGGGCGGTGAAAGGCTCTGAAGACTAGAGTGCAATTTGCAAACTGGGAAAATCCGTGTTGTGCAGTCTTGATAAATGAACCGGTTTAAAACGGTAAACTAATTGTATTTTGCAAATGGTTTTGTGGTTTTCATGTAAATTTTCGTTAATTTCAAAGTAAATCAACTAATTAACAATTAAATCTAAATACATTAATGGCATTATTGTCACCATTTCTTGCACTGTTTCTGTCGAGCTTGTAATCTGCCAGGAGACAAATGAACATATTGTAATCAAACTGGTAATAAAGCGACAAACTCAATGAGCGTTTAACAACTAAAGACGAAAAAAATGTAAAGTTAAAAACAACCGAGGAATCGCAACATTGATCCAATTGTAAGGGGGAATGAAACGAAAAAAAACTAACTGGAACAATAAAAAAAAGTGCAGAAATATTGTTTATGTATTGTCGGAGCTAACCCTTTCCATTTGTTGATGATATCATGGCGGAGCTTTGTGTCCTTGATGTCGACGATTTCTGTGGTGTTGAAACATCGTGCGTTCGCCCAGTTGAAATTTCAGCAGGAAAAGACGGTGGGGATTGTTGTTGTTGTTGTTGATTTGAAGTGGACAAAAAGTGATTGTATTTCGAACCATCACGCGATGGTTTCACAGCGACTGTGCCACCATTTGCACTTATTGACGATGCTGCCTTTGGCTGACTAACATATGGATGAAATTCCGGATAAAATTCTTGGATTTTCTCGTAGCGTTGAAACAATTTCGGAATGTTTGGGTTCGATGTGTATTGAAAACTACCTACTAATTCGACGTGAGCATCGAAGGGTGATGCTGTCGTGGTGGTTGTGATTTTTTGCAATGACGATGATTTGATGATCGAACCATTCGCCGGACTCTTTAACGTTCCCATCGATTCGTTGGCCGAATCGATTCGTGTGCTTAAGCTACTGCTGGCTATGGTTATTATTTCCTTTATTTGCTTTGGCGCTTTGACAGGCGATTTAATATACACCGTTTTCTCGCCGTCTTTATTGTCGACATTGTTGTTGGACAACTTTATTGGTCGTATCGTAGTGGTTGTGGTGGTTTTGTTATTTGTAAATGCGATGCCATTCATCGGTTCGAATTTGTTACGATCTTTATTTGATGCTGTTGTTTGTGGCCGTGGCGATGTTATTCGTTGCTTCCAGTTTTTTCCATTTTGATTTTTTCCATTTGTTTTGCCATTTTTGCGTCCCGTTGATTGTGTTCCGGTCGACTGTGAAGATTTTTGTTGTTGTTGTTGTTGCTGCTGCTGCTGCTGTGATTGTTGTTGTTTGCGATTTCCTTTGCCACCGTTGCCCTTTGTCACATTGGCCACTTGATTGTTTGTGTTTGGTGTATTGTAAACTGTACTCAATGGTATTAGCGGCACTGAAGCGGGATCGCTTTTATCAATTGGTTGTTTTGAACCATAGAATATCAACGACCATCCTTTCAAAAATGCATGACCTATTTTGTTTCCAATGTAACGGTGCAAATCCCCCAGAGAGTTTTTTGGTTTTTTTTTCGTTTTAAGTCAATGTATTCAGCATGATCAATGGTGATTTATGCGATGCACCAGTATTTATCACAAGTGGAAAGCGATAAAATTGCGAAATAGACAAATATTTTACAAATGCATTTTTTCAAACGAATGAATTTACACATTGACACTTAAGTGCTATTTGTGACAGATTAGTAATTTGGTTAGTTGAGACTGTTTTTCAATGGGTATCGTTGTGATACGCTTTCGATTGCATCGAATGTTTAAATAAAACAAAACATACCCATATAACGTCCTTCGTTTCGGATTTCGAGCAGCCATTGTCCGTGTGGTGATTCGCCCCACGTGTGAACCGACATAAATGGCCATTGGTTGAATCCTGAACGTGAATTATCGTGTGATCTGCAACAAGAAAATATCAAACGAGATTAGTTTATGAGAATTTCAGGACAATAATACCACCGCAACCGAAGAAAACAACCATTCGTTCAATCAATCAAGAGTACTAGTTGCAGTAATGCGCAGTGTGGTGCATTGTGTATGTATCGAACGGAAACCACAAACTGATCCAATATGTGTATGTGTGTGAATAGCATTGTGGGAATGAATCAACATAATCGAATAGATATTTGAATAATTCATAAATTACCACTTCAATTTCCGATGAACAATACACCACCAAATGAATGCTGATGGTGCTATTCATTATAAGTGTCTGTCGCTAATGACCACTGCATACATACTTGCTGCTTTGTATGTGTATGTGTGTGTGTATTTGTGCATGTGGCGGCTTAATTGGTTTCAAGGATCATGTTGATACATTGGTCTAAGTTGTACATATAAACTTTCCCAGATTTCTTGTTAAAGGCACTATCGATTCGCTGGCGGCGGCCAGCATACCATGTTTTCGGGTGATTTATTGCAAACATCGAAATAGCAAAATTGCACATAGAAAATGAAAGAGCCAATTTTCAGCATTTTCAAGATGTTTTCGGTTATGTAACGGATGACAGAATAATGATGGTTTCAAGTCGGCCGCCCATGTTTTCATCTTAAAAATATTACATCTTCATCGTAAACGGAAAATTGATGCAATTTTAGATGAACAACACTCACACAATAAAAAATGATTCTCATCACGATAAATATCGTTGCTCACTTCCGTTGTTTCGTGCCACAATTTATGCAAAAATGGGTGTTGTGTGTGTGTGTGTCTATTTTCCTTTCTGCTAAATGAACACTTTATTGTGATAAAATCAAATCTACCGCTATCTTTGGTGTGCACTTAAGGAAATTCAGTAGGATTGCCATCAACAATACACTTTATTTCGAACAAACGGTGTGCTAAATTGTTGAACGGAATGCAAACATTATACAAACAACGACACCGGAAAGCAATTCATATTTGCTCGTTATACACAGGGAGCCATAGATTTTGTAAACACACAAGGTTGAATATTGGCCTATTTACGCTCGGGAAAATTACGGATGGGAAGATTGCCAAAATGTTGAATTAGTGTGTGTCTGACGTACGCAATATTTTGTGCACAAACAATGTTTGTTTGTTTCACGAAACACTCGCCTGGAATATATAAATTGATGTGTGTGCCAATATTTGATATGAATTTATGATAAAATTGGCCACGTCACATACAACGAAATACTATCATCAACGTCACTACCAGCCATTATCGTTAGAGATTACATTATTATGTTGATATTTCGTAGAAGAAATTTATTTTTGGATTGAATAAGCCGTCAGCCGTCAGCCATCAACAACGATTGCAGGATCAAAACATTTGTTATGAGGTATCACTCGATGTAACAGCATGCGACAAAGATGGGTCCTTTTATGCTTATGGCAACTGTTTAATTTTATTTGGTTCACCCTTGTTTTGCTCCAACATTGAGAATGAGTCGTGTTAGGCGTGGTTAGTACCTTATTGTCATTAAGACCGTTCTTTTCTGGAGTGAATTATTTTCTTTTGCTCAAATTTATTACCTTGATGTCAACAATGTAACTTTGGTGCCAGCTGGAGAAGTCAAATGGATCTGAATGTCACCCCGTCTTGGTGTTGTCAACGTAATTTTGGCTTGGACATGCTCCAAATAATTAACGCTTCCACACTGGTGCGGTTGTACCTTTAAGCTAATGACAATGTAACTTTTCGGTGCGATTGCCCTGCAGAAAAAGAATTTTTTTCAGTTTAAAAATTGAGCATCACATTGATTGCAAATTAAATATATCGAATTTGCCTACAACAACTTACTTATCCAATGATGGAGCGTATATTTCGCAACGTTGTTGCTCGGGAACGGTTTTCCATGTTCTTGCCAATTTGATCATAGCAGTTGCATCCATCAATCCGTAACCAAAACTATGCGATACACGACGCCCAATCCCATTCTTCGACCAGGATGGATCTTGTAAATTAGCTGGCTTTGCTGTTCGTACCACTGCACCGAGAAAAAAAACGCATATCGTAAACAAGTTAAGCTTTTGTTTTTTTTCTTCTAAATATTAAACATGAGTGTACACTGTACAAACAATGGAGGGGAAAAAATACGAAAATATCGTACCGATATGTTGTAAATCTCTCCAGGTTAGATTCGGGTTTGCCTCTAATACGAGCGCAGCAATGCCAGCGGCCAATGGAGCCGATGCTGAGGTGCCGGTATGTGAAGCGGTACACGAATGATGCAAATCAGTTGTAACCACTTGACGTTCTTCTTTGCTTCCGCTACTGTATGTGGTTGCCAGTGTTGAGCTGCATTTTTCCGAATACCATGGCACAAGGCCCCGTTCGGTTGCACTCGATATGGACAACGTCCAAATTGAGTTCGTATAACCATCACAATTACAATTATCATGATCCTTTCCACCATTACCAGATGCCCAAATGAAAATGCTTCCCTTTCCACTGCGACCTTTTGATACACCTTCGATGAATGCTCGTGTTGCCAACTCACCAGGACCATCCACTGTTTTACCATCATCTGTTTTGAATTATGTGCCATTAGAATTTGACTAAATTTTAGTTTGGGGGCGAGAAATTTATCATTAAAAATTACCGTCTGGTCCCCAGGATGCGCTGTAAATGTCAATGTGCTGTGGATTCAAACTCAGTGACCTTGCCTCAACGGCATCTGTCACATCGCCATCTAACATTCGAACACCTCCAACGCTCGCACCATGTGCAATTCCAACGCAACACAACGAATTGTTAAAGGTAGCTGCTACTTCGCCGGCACATCGAGTTCCATGGCGATTTGAATCGTCCATATCGTAATGTGGCATCGGGTCATCATCGTGCGAGTTAACATCATACGATGCTTTTGGATCCTAGAATTTAAACAATAGTCACATTACTCCTCATAGCACGAAAAAAGAAGAAAAAATCTAAAATAAATCGAGAATAAAGTTAAATGGCCAAAATCGCTTTGCAACTTCGTAACGATCGAAAGACTAACTTTTCATTAAGTCACCACATCTACTACTATCGAGGAGTTATATAGCGTAGGTGAAAGTGTCATCACCTATAATCATAAGCATTTGTTCCAGTGAATTAACGAGAAAATGAACACAAAATAGACGAACTTCGCTATTCAACACCAACTAACTGAAGTAACACCAAATGACACATCAAATAATTGTGCTCGCCGTCGTTGGAATCGAGCTGTGAGCGGGCGAAAAATTGGCAAATAAAAATCCACACCGTGACATTCGGTTGAACAAGAAAAAGAATCTTTGGGAAAGTTTTCGCTTTCGGCAGACGCTCGTCTGAGCGGAAGATATGACAAAATGGTTTATTACTTCTAAACTTTTTTTTGCTCTCTTTCCCTCCTCTCTCTCCGTCTCTATCGCTCGCATTTGATGCAGAGCCAAAGTGCGAACACTTGCAATTCGCTGGAACTTTATCTCTAGTTTTATTTTTTTCTACACCCTATGCTCGTTTATTGCTTGTAACCAGCTTCTTGATATCACATTTCGGTAATGATGTCGTTGAGGCGATATACAAGCCGAAGTCAATGTATGTTATTGGACACTATAAATGGTGAAAAAATCGCAAAAACTACCGTTCCATTTTTGCACGTTGTCAACCATAGTTAAGGGCGGAATTTATAATACAAAACTACTGGGAATTTTTCTCTCAGTTACAACGTAGCAAACATCAAATTTCACAAATATAATATTTTTCCGTATTTTTTGCACGTCAAAAAGATCAAGAAAAAAAAAATTTTATGCAGATAAAACTTCAAAAACCATAAAGAGTTCCCTGTCAAAGTTTTTTCGATACGAATCTTTCTCGTAAATAATAATAAAATAATATGCAAATTATGTTGAACTTACGAAATTATCTAATAAATCTGGGTGATCCGATTCGAGGCCATCATCTAAAATAGTGACTACGATTCCTTTACCCGTTACACCCTCTTTCCATGCTGGGATCACGTTCATATCGAGTCCGTTGCCGCGATGCTGAAATCCAAATACAAAACGGAATTAAGAAAACTTTCAAGAATGCACGACCGAAATTTTTCTATGTTTTCTCTTTCACTATAAAATGGAAAATGCTTGAATGTTCGTGAACACAATTAATGTCAGTTGCAATTTAAAACCGATAACGAGAAAACCTTGGAGTGTCTTGACAGCGGGAAACAGTTTGCAACGAGTTGAACAAATATTCGCTAAAGCAAAATATTCAAACCTTACGAGCGCAAATAAAACATAATGGATGATGGGTTTAAAACTAATTACAACCGAAAAAAAGACTCTTGATCAACTTAAGAATTGCATAAGTTTCCATCAGCATTATCAGAGCTATGTACATAATTGCAATGAGGATTGAGCACTTGAGTTGGAGCGAATTTAAAACCGCGACGGTAAAAATAAAAGCGACTTTTTCGGGCTTCCCATCATAACCTCAGTCTGTTTACAAGATAAAAGCCAATTATGATAATCGACTGCACCAACTGGTGGGAACGGACAAGTTTAATTTTTCCATGCACCCATTCCCTCCACCCAATCAAATTTACATAATGAACCATATTCCATGGAATAATGTGATGCATCATCGACCAATTCGTGTAAAATCAATTCCAAATTTGTAAACACAACAATTTGACCGAGCGAAATGTTTGAATTTGGCTTCGATTGATGGTAATTTCCATAATATGCAAATGCAAACACAAAATGTTCTGTGGCTTTTTGCACGGTTTGAAGTTCTACATTGATTATAGTTCTATGAAAATATTTACACAAACGCTGATGAACATGATGGTCAACACAACTATACCCATTTTCATGTTGAATGATTTTGGCCGCTGTTAAATGATGGATACATGTATACTCGAATAAAGCTAAATCGAGCAAAGTGCACTTTGACTTAATTTTCTTGGAATAGTCCGAAAACAAGAGTCAAAATGTGCAATGATTTTACGATATAACTCCAATTGTTCTACATTTTGTTTCATATAATGTACAGAATAAACATTGGAGTCATATTTGCGAAAGTGCATTTTAATCAACCCATAAGTAAATATTCATCATTCGTTGCTACGTCGTCGTCGTCGAAAGTGCTTGTGTTTACACATCAAAGTGGGTTACGCTCACAATTGCTGAAAGTAAACACGTATAATAAACTTGTAGTAAATGGATTGCGATGTACTATGCGCGCACTAGTGTATTCCTGTCGATTTGAAGATAAATGATATACACCAACAGTTGCGATTCAGGTAAATTGCTGCCAATTCCATTAAGAAAATGTTTAATCTTTCAGTTCCTATCTATGTACATTATAAGTAAATGCGTAGACAAAGTTGTTATTACCACTTTTATATATCCGGTGGGATCTATAAAAATGCCGGCTTCACTTTACCAACTTCCACTATCTATATATTAATATGCGAGGAGTTTTTTTGTCATCCCTTTTTAACCTACTTAATGTTAACCGATTTGGATGGCATTGGTATCGTTGGAAAGGTCTCCGAACGTAGATGTGCACAATGCCCAATTTAATCTCAAAAAAATAATTTTAAGGCAGGTAAAAACCGAAATGAAAATATACCTTTTTCTCATACAAATGGTTTTTTTCCTATTGGAACACACAACAGCAAATGCCGAAGGTCTCTGTGTGTATGCTGTGTACAGTATAAGAAGAGCTATGCATCGGAAAAACGATGCGAAAGCAGAAGAAAAAAGAAGAAAAAAAATCAAGCAAAGCAAGTGTAAAACAGCTGTTTTTTCTGTTTGCTTTCGTTTTGTTTCTCTTCACAGCTCTGCTTACACAGATCTGTTGCACCATACACGCGAACAACTACCGACCAGTGTGTCCGTTTGTGTGGTGGTATTTTTTTTCTTTTCTTTTTTTTCTGCTTTGCTTCATTTCTCCGATGCGCCGTTCGCTCACACTGCGCACCATACACCCAAACACTAACCGTCGGCTTTGTTGCTGTTGTGTGTGCCTGATTGAGCGATGCCATAGATTTCGCATTATTTCTCCGGTGCACAGCAGCAACTGACGCACATGTTTATTTTTTGTCATTTTTAAGTGATTTATGTCGTGACAAAATTCGTCGAATATTCGACATTATAAAAATAGTGTTTTACGGAGTGACGAAATTCGCAGAATTGATTTGGGTTGTGCGTGTTGAAAAAAATTCATATAAGTGAACAAAAAAAATTATCCGAAAAATTTCCTCCGATTTTTTTCAATCGTTCTGAGAATTTTAATCGTTGTTGTTTCCATTGCTTAGCACAATGGAAAGAGTGATTGCGGAAGAGCGTTTGATTGCCATTGTATCGGCGCGATGGGGTGTGAAGCAGAAGTTTATTCGGTACCTTTTTGACATCACAAACACAAACCAATGGAATACCGAAGCGGACGTAATTTCGAATATGGAGGAACGCGTGAAGTTTTTGCATTTTGTTGTTCGAAATCATCAGCTCGCGCCAGAACATCAAGAAGAAAATGAGATTTTCGCGCTATCGCTTCAAACCGGTGTTCCTCTGTATGTGGCAGCAGGAGCTCTTGCTGCTGAGCACAGTGGTGTAACCACACTTAATCGTGTCGAGATGTGCGTTATTTTGTACACCGTCCTACGAGATCTGGACAAATTGATCGATTTCTGGCTTCCATATCCGCTCAATTGTTTTTTTCTTGATTTCCAATGTCATTACATCTTTCGACGTCGTGAAAATAAATCGAACAAAAAAAATGAAAGTGCTTTCATTTTAAATCATTGTAGGCATTTGTTTAGGAAGGAATGAGAAAGTGAGAGAGAGAAACGAGATGGAGAAAGTGGTAAGAATTTTTGTTCGATGTGTCATATTTCGTTGTGCAGTTCTTTTTGGTGAAGATTGTGTGCAATACGGATTTGTGCATGTTTTTTTTTTTTGTGTGGTCGAGTATTGACGAACAAGCAAAAGTGACTCCAGCTGATAAGAGTTGGTGTGAGTTATTTTGGGTTATTTATGTTTACACATGATTCGTATTAGCACTTTGCATCGGACTGTGAAGTGTTTTCGGTCGACTGTGATTTATGCTCTTTGCTTAAGTGTCAAATTTTTCCGAAGAAAAAGAATTATTTTCAAGATTTTTTTAAAACAATTTTTGTCATTCGTAAGAACATACATAAAAATATTCTCAAATAACGCAACGAAATGTAGTCAATATTTGAATTTAATTCAATTAATAAAGACTGCAATCAATAAAGACTGACAAGGAATATAATGAGTTTTATATTAACGTTTGGGTGGTCGAATTTCGACCACTGGGCGAGACTAGTTCTATGAATAGCACACATTGGCATGTCAACTAAATGCAACGAATTGGCAATAAAACATTGTATAATGAATATTTATTAGGCAGCCAAAATGTATTGGAAGCGTATGCTGAAAGCATTAATTCAAATACGGTGGGGAACGGCGATATCGATCCGAGGCGGCAACGCAAATGACAATAGATGTTGATATAATGTAAACCACTCATGGGAATCGGTCGATTGCACTTTGCTTGAACTCTGCACAGAAATTTGCACGCGTTTGTGATTACCGATTCAATACGCATTCAACATATGAACGAAAAGTGAAGCGGGGGAAAAAATAAACTCCACAAGGTACTTTTCTCATCGAAGTTGATTGCTTGATATGTCAGACATTTTGACACATAAAAATGAATATGCCTCAAAACCGATCAAATTCACTTACCAAATACCACATTTGTGGCCACTTGGGATCCGTCGTTTGGATACGATTCTTTCCCATCATTACGGTTGGATACGCTGGAATTTTTGGCTCATGAAAACTAAGGAAATCACGCTTTTTACGTGACTTAATGCGTTGTTGCTTTGACCATTGCACACGATCATCAACACTCAATCGCCCTTGGTGATGATGTGCTGGCTCAACGGAACGTTTTCGTATTTCACTATGGTGAAAATGATAATGGTCGTCAAATATCTGTAGAGAAAAAAACATTTGTTAATAAATAAATCGATATGTTTTGAAAATTAATACGATTACGTAAATTTAATGCATTTTAATTCTTGGAAATGTCTTTCGATTTGAGGCTGCAAATTCCAATTGCAAATTATCAATTTACAAAACGAGTTTTATACTTCATTTCCAACGAAAGATGCAATTTTTTAGCGTAAACAATCGATATGGAACAGTCAATCTATTCGTGCAGTTAACATGAATTGAGACGAATTTCCAAATGAATGGACATCCACTTGAAATTGAAAGGGTTAAAATTCTATCAATAATTTACAATGACTTTGAGGTTCAGCATGCAATTAGGTCATCTTGATGCAAATATTCAATTGGATATTGTGCATGAAAAGCCGCTTTTATACCAAACATAACGATTTCCATTGAAATGATTAGCCAATCATTTCAAATTGATTGAATGGCTGGCTATACTCGAAATTACGAAGAGCCCTGCTGCTTTCGAAATGAATTCCGAACTAAAAAGCTTTTAGATGTTTCGTACTTGGAATGGAGACTGACACTTTCAATTGGATATGGCTTTGATTTCAATTAAGATGCTTCGAAAATATGCATTATTGTTTCGGATTTTCAATCAACGTCAACATCAGATGCATCTGGTTTGTGCATCTATCTATGGCACTCATTTCAAATATGCATGACTGAATGATGAAAACATGAGCCATAGAGTAGTCTTTTGCTTCGAAGAATTTATATTATGGCCATGTATCTTTTATATAAGCTGTGTCTGAATCTAAATACTATATTTTGGATTCGTTTGAGACGAACATGTAACAAACTGATATTGTAATCCAATTTATGTATAGCGTTTGAAAAAGCATTTTCACAAATTTTCAAAGAAATCTGCGAAGTATTCAACTACATGTTCAATAAAATCAAGTAGTAAAGTAGTCCATCGACTGGAAGAGGCGAAACGGTTGAATGGAAATAATCGACCTAAAATTTCCTTTCAGTTTACCGTCATCGGTGATATAAAATCAACAGCCTAATCTGTTTTACTTTCATTTGCACCGGCATTTGGTGTGAAAAGATGATTATTGCCGTTCATGTGCTGATGAAGCATACTTGTTCGACTTTAGCCACAAACAGAAGAGCAATAAAAATACTTGCGACAGGTGTTGCAGTTGTGAAAAGACATATGTCGGTTTGCTAGGCTGAGCCAGGCCACCAAAAGAAAGAGAAAAACATCAACCAAGAATCAACACCAGAACACCTGTCCTTAATTCGATTATATCGGTGAAATTCTGTCTTTTATTTCCAATTTGTGGAAAATCACAGGGAAAATTCTTTTTTTTTGGCTTCATTTGCTCTTTTGATCGTTTTTCGAATGACTTTGTGTAAAAAAAGTTTGTTCAAACCATGAACATGCTGTCGAATATTTTTCTGCATTAGACTTATTAGCTCCACCTCATCAAATCCGATCATATTAATCCAATTGAATTTGTAAATTTAATTCAAAATTCAATTGAATGGATTTATAACATTTCAGTCAATTGAATAATGAAATTCATGTGAATTTATTCATTTTTTCCTGGATATTAATATCAATATTTGATGTTAAAACAAGGGCTGGCACAATTTGTCCGTTTCATCATCCGATAAATAAACAAAATAAATCAAAATGTATCGAGAAAAAAATGAACCGATGATTTACGTATGGAAGAGCTGATAAATATAATTTTGCTTTTTGATAAATTGGTTTCACGACAAACAACGACTATTATCCAATTTTTTCCCCGTTTTCGACAGAAAAACCCCAATTGATTAAAATATGCTTGTCAGGCGGTTTTCCCTCTAGTCTATTGCATAATAAAATATGATTGAGTTTATAATAATATGAAATCCGATTTTGCACTTTTTTTCACAGAATAATTTCCCACACAGAGAAAAATAAAATGGTCTTGACGATGTCCGTGCATTAGTTTATTTTTCATGATTTAAAAAAAAAGAATCGTTTGTTCTGTTCTGCGAATCGCATAAATGTATTAACGGGTTAAACAGAAAATTATAATTCAGCCAAAGTTATTGCATGGCCAAGCGTTAAACTGACAAGCCATTTAAAGTCAAACAATTTCTCACGTCGTGCGACAACAATACCAAATTGATTTTAAATAGCATTTTTTCATCCATCACCGTTGATTGACAGTCATTCAACCGATTCACTGATAATTCCCGAACCCATGAAATCACGTGCCAGATTTTTTTTCTCGCAAAAAATGAATTTACTCGTCGATCCGCGGGCTTTGAGCTGCCAATAATGAACAGATAACGAGCTCTGCTCATCATTCAAAAAATATAATGCGTGTAGCGAAAAGATTAAAACTGTGTTGCGTTGAAACTGTATAGCTCAAGTACTTCAATTTTAAGCTGAAAATCAATATCACTGGCTGATTTGCTTTCGGGCGAGATTAAATTGAAAGTGCCCTTTGTTGGCCACACCCAAAACCTTTTTTTTTGGTTGTTGATATTTTGGATGAATTTTCAAAGTACCAAAGCGTACATTTGTTTTTGTTTTAAGCACATGCACAAGCACTGGCCTTATCTAGTTTGTCATATCATGGTTCAGTGAATTTCCAGAAGTGCTACGAAATCGGAAAAGTTTTTCGAGAGATGCTCAAGAAGTGTAATCAAAATCCGAAAGTTCAAAATCAACGGCAAATGAATGTATTATGTATGAATTAAGTTGGATCGACAAACACCATTTGCGAGAATCGGAGAACGAAATATAAATGCCAGTTGAAATAAATATGTGCGAAACTTATGATAAATTTGATTTTGCTCTGAATTAATTTATATGCAAAGATAATTTGGCCTGTGTTGCTATGTGGTTTGGCTTCATCTTGTCTGTTGTCGAACAGTGTGGAACTGCAGTTGAACTACAATTTCTCACTGTCTCTTCGTTTCTACCGAATGTTCTCGGTATGAAAAGGGCAAAGGCTAGTAATTTATTGTATGTAAATATCAAAGTGACGACACGTTTTGACGAAATCTACGGCGAACTCATGAACTAACGAAATTTCAATACAAAATGATGCGAGAGTTCGTGGCGCTGCAAGCACTCAAAAGAAATTTTGTACTGAAGTGTCGTCAGCTTGGTAAATATCATATCCAAATCACCAATTTTTAATGAGAGCGCCCGGAATTTCTTGATTTGCATCCAAGCATTGCCACAGCACTATGAACTCTGTTGGCAGCATTTTTGCGCCAAGTGTGCCGAGATATTTATATGCAAGTCCATGCAGTGTGTTTCTTGGATTACTATTAACATTCAACAGTGTAGTTGACTCTTGCATGGTTTTTGTATGTAAATTTGCTTCGCATTATTCCATGTCTTGGCTTGGCTTGGCTTGGCTTACATTTGCGTTCTTTGTATTTGATATGTGTGTGTGTGTGTGTAAGCAATATGCATTCCGAGACGTTCCATTTACTGCATTGGCTGAGGAGTTCCAACTTCAGTGGATTGCATAATTTATTGATGGTTTTGAGCAGACATACAGATGAGGTCTTGATGTGGGCTTTCCGTCTGCACCAATTTTAAAACACTTGCTCGAAATAGATGAACATACGAGTCTTCAACATAGTTGTTTGATGTGTAAGCATTATTGCCCCACTAAGCATCAATTTGGCCGACTACCATCTAAAAACTTGTGGAATCCTCTCATTTTCAGTGCATAGCAACCAAAACGTGAGAGAGAGAGAGAGGAAAAAACCCAGTGAATATTGAAAAATGTTGCGTTGACATTGCAACAACTTTGTATGGTGAAGAATGAGGCTATACGCTTAGTGTTTGCCTTAATCTCTATCATCCAGTGCAATCAACTGATCAAACGAGGTTTTATCATTAGACTATATTGTTGCAAAATGTGTATCAACATTTGTGTTCTAAGAAACTTTCATCTGCTTCAACTTTGCTCTGGGCAAACTAAGACTGATGCACACATGCTATCAAATGATTTTCCATTTCTCTCTTTCTCTCTCTGTTTTCCTTGCGTATGATAAATGCACTAGTAAATGCACCGGTGATCACAAAATGGGAAAATAGGACTTAGACATGCTTGATGTAGCTTTTCACATATCAAATCATGAATGTGTTTTAATCATATGATTTTTGACATGTAACAATTCCAACAAAACACTCCGTTCGATGTTTGTTTTGTGAAAAATGCATGGAATTCAACAGCTACGGTGAGGCCTTATGTTTGATATACGATTAGTTTGAATGTGTGTTTTATCCGAATGCCTCCAGTGTGGAAATGATGGCTAAGCTTGCTATTGAAATAAACAAAGCCCATTATCGCTAGCATAACATTTCATCGCAGGCAACATATTTTCTCCCATGAAATGTATTTGGTTTTGGTTTTGATTTTGGTTGCAGTTTGCCCGTGACAAACACATAACGCCATACTTCCGTTCATATGAGTACAAAACAAGCCCCAAAATCCATTTTCTCGGTCCAATTCTGATATTCAAGAGATTTGCGTAAAACTGTTACATCATAATTTCACTGAATGATTTATGAACTGATGCGCCGTTCACATTTATTCCGGCATCTCATCGAAAGATAAATAATTCACTTAACAAAAAATAATTTCGTTTAATTCATCAGTAGATCATGATTCATATTATTACATTCGCTTATGTCATTTGAGCTTCTGGAGAATCAACTACGTACGCCCATCATTTTCGGTGGTGTTCGTTTTTCAGAATTCAAAGAAAAAAGCCATTAACAAGCTATGCATTCATAGATTGTACGTCAAAGTTCTACTATTGATGTCGAATAAATCCTGAGCCATATTTCATGGTGGAGAAAATTCAAAATCATCAAATATTTCATTGAACGTACACGCTTTGAATAAAGATAGAGCAAAGTCAGCAAAAACTCAGCAACATTCTACTCGAATATATATCTAAGCAAAATACACATACACTTTCAATACCTTTCTGTCAGAATG